ACAGTGCCTCTCTTCACCCTGGTCTATAAATGGGTACCGGCAATTTAATGCTGGGGGTAACCCTGCGATGGACTAGCATCCCATCCAGGGGGGAGCAGAAATACTACTAGTCGCTTCATGCTACAGAAACCGGAGTTAAGCACCGGCCTAATGGGCCACTAGGCTCGTAAACAGACTTTACCTTTACTTTACCAGCGTGCACTATCTGGATTTTGAGCACGCTTACGTATAATGAATTTGATTACGCGGCTCTGCTAGCTATGTTATAACTGAAGTTTTCTCTCCATAGCCAATCACATCCCCATGGTAAGGAAAGTCCTTAAAAGTCTGAATTTTATGTTCCTTGGTTATCCATCCTCGATTTTTCGATTTGGAAAGCTTATGAAATTACTATCAAAAAACTCATGTGTTTGTAATACTGGAACTAGGAAAATTCACTCTTTGATTTTATCCTCGCCGCAATACAACGATAATGAATAAAAGGGGTAAGTTTCTTCAGAAACTATGGTGCTTCGTCGGTGAGGGGGGGGGTTATAACAGGGTGATTATGGTATTATCAACTGAGTTGATAATGTAAATGGCCACCGTAAAGAGTTTCAAAGCTGACTTTTCGAGCGTTAGCTCATCGTCAATCCACTCTGAAGAAGGGTTAATGCTCGAAACGTCAGCTTTGAAACTCTTTACTCTTTGACAGTGCTCATTTACATTATCAACTGCGTTGATAAAATCATAATTACCTTGTTATATCTATCACTCCTTCGCCATTGGCAGAATAACCCAAAACCGGTGACGATTTTCATTGCGATACAAGAGGGCTAGCTATATAGCTACGAACTAAAATTTCAAAATCATCGGAACTATTTCCTTCGACTAATATGGATGTGAGACAAAATGCGCTATCTTCCACCCAACCCATAATAATAATAATAATAATAATAATAATAATAATAATAGTTTAATATTTGTAGTGCGCAAATTCCATTTACGTATGATCAAATGCGCATAAAGATAACAGAAAGACAACAGGCAGACTGGTCTGCGAAATAAAGGGGGGAAGTTTCTAAAGAAACTGTGGTGTGGCGTTGGTGGGGAAGTAAAACAAGGTAACTATGGTTTCATCAACTGTATTGATAATGTAACTTGACGACCGCAAAGAATTTCAAGGCTGACGTTTCGAGCGTTAGACCTTCGTCAGAGGGGTTAACGCGCGAAACGTCTGCTTTGAAACTCTCAAAGGTGCTCAATTTACTTCATTGACTGAGTTGACAAAACCATAATTACCTTGGTCTACGGAATTATTTTGTTTCGCCTCAATGCGTATAAAGTTATATCCGATTGATATGCGCAAGAAAATCGATTTATATAAACGTCCAAGATCACAACCTTTTTCGGTAATTCCATATTCAAGGAGAACGGGATCGAAAATTGACCTGTTTAGCGTGCCTTACTAGCTCCATTAATGAATAATTAGTTAAATCCATTTGTAACGCAGAAGTCACACTTTAAATAGCAGGAGGATTATGCTCTCTTCTACAGAGCAGCGTTTTTGTCTTGTGATGTCAAGAGTAAGGACTATAAAATGTGCTGACGCACCGGTTGATGACGCAAGCTTAAAGCAGCTTCGCTTTGCTATTGTGAAAATATCGCTATTGTGGAAAACTCTGCAGTTCACTTTCGTTTCAAAGCCCTTATCTTGTAAGGAACAGGAAACTGTGTAAAGAAGTAAAGTCCCTCTAACTTGGGAAGACGGCCATCTTCTTCAGGAAAAAAACTAAACTTCTGCAGCAACAAAGACAGAAACAACAAGAGCTCAGCTTTTGCCAGTGGTTCGCCAGCAGAACCTTCTTCCTGCTCCAAAAGGGTAGAAATTACCTTGGTTCGTGATCAGCTGACCTGCATCGTCAATATGACGGTGGGGGTTGAACTCGGAGGGGTTTTCCCAGCAGTTTGGGATCCATGTGAACGGATTCTGTGTCTGCAAACACAATGGTATCTTTAGGCACACGGTAGCCACACAGTGTCGTATCAGTCACAGTGAGATGAGGCAAGGCAAGAGGAACAATATTTCTAACTCTCAGTGTCTCAATGATGAAAACATTGATTAAGGGCAGGTTCTGGCGGTCGTTAAGAGAGGGACTCCGTTCACCGACAACTTCATCTAGCTAGTGTTGAATGTCATTTTGGTATTTTGGATAGTTGACCAAAAATGCTATTGCCCATCTCACTGTGGTGCTTGTGGTTTCGTAACCAGCCCCAAACATATCCCCGATGGTGTTGACGAAGTAATCATCGGTGAAAAAAGCTGAGTTGTCTTCTTTGCTTTCGCGTTCAGCTTCATGTTTGGCGTGTAGGAGACCCGAGATTAAATATTTTACTGGTTGCTAAGGATCGAAATTATCTTTCCGCTCCTTGAGAAAAAAGCGAATGATTTCATACATTCCGAGAAAAAGCTGAATAAAACGGTCATGTGCTTTGGTGGGAAGGTATCAAGCCAGAGGGAAGAAATCTAAGATTCGCACCCATTGAGCATTTGCATGGTCCTATATGAAATTTACGTTCAGTTTTAAGAGCCTGTTCAATCGTGGGTTGGTGGTATCGTACCCTTCACCGAACGTTATGCCATAGACGACTTCAGCAACTGTATGCTAAAAGCAGCCCTTGAGGTTTAAAGGCTGCCCGTCGTGCCCTTCCATAAACTTCATCATCTTCTCAGCAGGTTTTAAGACCCGGCTCTCTATTAGTGAAATGTCGGGAAGGTAATGGCGCAGAGCTGTCGCGAAGAGTTTGCGATGAATCTTCCAAGTTGGGGCACAGTTACCAAACATTATATTCTTTAATGCCGCCTATAATTCAATTTTTCAGGTGTTGTAAATGTAACAAATTAATTGATCTGAGACTCTAAAGAAATAACAGCTCTATGCCGTTACCACCCATTTTTCGTGGCTTATATTCTGTACACCTCAAAATCGGCTTCAATGTTGGTCTTGGTTGTTGTTGTTGTTGTTGTTTTTTTTTACCGGTCTTAAAAGCAGCTGATGACTGGAATGACAAGCTATATTTAAAAAACAAATAACGAAATGTAGCTTTGTAGCTAAGTTGGCATGAGTGCCTTCCTAGTATCATAGAGGTAAGAGTTCCAATCCCGTCGAAATGAAATTTTATTTTAGACTCACTTTCCCGATAATTACTGCACTTGCAGTTAACTACAAGGAGCATGTCGGTTTTTGTTATCATTTACTTGTCAAGCTACATTTAGATGTAAAAAGCCATTTTCTTGGGAAAATGTTATACTGATCATGAGGAGCTTACCTAGAGTTACTTCATAAATAGAGTAAGTTTGCCGTCTTCCTACAAAATCAGCAGATTTCTTGACAAGCATTTCATAGACGCCCTCGGCAGACGACGCCCTTACCAGCTTGAAGCTTCCAAGTTTTAAGGAGAAAACACGACCGTGTTTTTCTTCAGACTACAATACAAACAAAATACAATTTGAAAATGTTTTCTTTGAAACACAATGTCGGAAATTCTAATAGAAATGGACTTGGACGTCATTTTAGCTGCTACAGGTTGTAGTTCCTGGCATTCTCACCACCTCGGCGAAGTTCTCTGAGACTTTTTTTTTTACAGTAAACTTTTCTTCGCTAAGTATCAGTCAATGATTCCGTTTCTGATATGATCGTTTTACAAGAGCAGCTAAAAAAATGCTTCGAAGTGGCTCACTCTCACCAAACTTTTAATTTCGCAAAGTTAATTAGCAATAATTTTTTGGGTAAATAATTTTTGGAGTGAAATTTTAATAATTTAAATAATTTTTTGTAGTAGACATTGTGTCACTTATTACGAAAACCGCAAACCAAAGTTGTTGGAATACACGAAGTGATCGGAGGAAAGCATTTAAAATTGAATTCGTTTAAAACACGTCAGTTAACGCATGAAGGGCCACCAGTAGTAGTAGTAGTGGTAGTAGTGGTAGTAGTGGTAGTAGTGGTAGTAGTAGTAGTGGTATTGTGGAATTCATGAAATTTTCGCACAGATAGTTGCAGCTTAAAATTATTACACAGTAATCCGCTTTTCAACCCCGCCTATTACTTCAATTTTATATCTTTTTCCCTAGTTAAGTTGACCATTTCGCCCTTTCCCCCCAAAATCATCGTTGTATCGTGATTCCATGAACTTTTAACCAACATTGAATGGGGTACGGGGGGGGTCTGTTAATGATTTAGAGTGTGGTACAAACAGGACTGGTATTCTTCACATAAATAGAACTCTTCAATCCTGATGTCTCAACTAATTTTGACGCTGATTGTAAGTCTTACACGTACGAGTAACTGAGTCAGTTTTCGATTAATGAAATGTCGGGATTTCTCTCATGTTTAAAATTGATTTAATGACACGCTATAGCGGGAACGTTGTCTCATAGATGTTACTTAGCAATCCACCTTGCGCCAAACTTTTCACTAACTTTTGGAAAGCTTGAGTGAGTTTTTCCGCGTTTAAGTCAAGGGAAAGAACATTTCCCACAACAGGGAGCGTGGCTAGCCGCGGGCCTGGAGGCATGTCACTAAAATCGTACAGAACAATCAGGTAATGCAACAAGAGTAGGAAGAGGAACACAAAAATTAATATTTTCGAGACTGAGAGAAGCGCAAATGGAGGCCACCCACGACGCCATGACTTATTGTCCTAAACTCTCTGTGGAAAAAGATGATCTGTTTTATACACTACCTGTTACGTAATTAAACCACCAACCAAACATTTTCTCACGTAGTGTGACCTTGCACTTACTGAGTCATGACGTCAATAGGTGCAAACATATCGTCAACCTTGGTTCGTGTAGAAGCTTTCACTGGATTGTGTGGTGAGGTCAGTTTATGGGGGCACTACAGCTGTGCCAATATGAATTGAAAGATCTACGTCTCACTTTGTAAACGGTCTGTTCGCCTTTCCATGTAACTTTCATCTTCACAAAAATAAGGTGAATCTTTCCTTTTATGCTTGATTATCACACATTACGTAATCAGGGAAGTACGTCAGTGATCCATGATTGCCTGCACGTACATCCGTCAGGAAAAAAAAGCAGTTAGTCATGCAGGTCTGTCTTTCAAGGAGAAAATTGTGCACGCAGAGAGACACTGTCGTGGCATGCCCCAGGTGTACTTACGCTTTAAAATTTATAGGCATTACTTCGACACGTTTTTCCTCACGTACGAATAGCATAGGTAGGAATAGCAAACTCCTTAGAGTTGGAGATGTAAAGCCATCTAATATATCTTGCAGCTCACGAAAGTGAATACAATTCACGTGCTCATTAATGTCACGACACCCTTATTATGTAACACATTGAGGCATACAAGTGATCCTTAATTTCATAACCTTTCTCTTTCGCTGTCTTTAACCACAAGAAAAGTTTTGGTGATTGGTCATTTTTACCGTTGAAAAACGCCAACAACAAAATTAAAGAGTAAGAGAAAATGTGAAGTAAAGCAAGATGATCCTGCAATCCTCTCGTTTAAAGTTGTTTTATTTTACGAGAATTGTTACTGTTGCGGGTTACACGGCATCATCATGTCACGCAACCAATAATTTCAATCTTTTTTTCTTTGAAAAGAAAGGGTTATTCTGAAGATGCACTATCCACTGTTGCTGGAAACTTCCAAAAATACCATGATCTAACATGAAGTCAATAAAACAGCGATATTTCTTTTTACAATAACATAGAGTCGCAGAGGAGAAGTGGCTTAGGCATAACTAACTTGTTTGCCAACCAAGGTTAAGCAGACCGGAAAGGAATCTACTCCTGATACACTCTGCCACGTAGTTTATTTACCGAACTTGTTACTAACTCTATCCAGTGCTTTGACACCATTTAGCTATTCGCCAGATTCTCTCCTAATGGTCTTGAACGAAAAGACATGACGATTAAACCTTGTTTGTACACAAAACAAACATGTCGCGCTAGCTGCCGCTTGGGATATAAACTTTGACCCGATTTGGAAAAAACGGTTATTAGGAAGCTATTGATTATAGTTTTAATTAAAGCATCTTCATGTAGATAACACTAAAGTAGGACAAAACACGTCCATCGAGCTCTGGACTTGCTACGAGACAATAAAATACAAATATAGAATACTTCATGAAAAAGTCTGTCCGTAAGGAATTTACGCACGAGTTGGTTAACGCGGAGAACGTGTGAGATTTCTGATACAAACGGAAGAGTCCTGGTTGACTTTCGGCCTCTTCGACCAGCTTGCGAATGAACGCTTATTTTGCACCTTTTCAGTGGGTAAATCTTTGTCAGCAAACTTGTGGTAGATTTATGTTCCTAAGATACTCGGAAAATGTTAAAATCAGCTTGATCGTACTGTTTTTCATAAAATCATTAATAGGAGAGCCATTATGATAATTGGGTAACAAAAAACCTTTGAGATTGTTGTAGAGCTCTCCGCAACGCGAACGATAGAGGTGGAAATAAAGCACAAATAAAATACACCTTCGAAAATTGGAAAACGACTACAGGAAGTTCAAAGAATTAAACTAAATGCGAGCTAATAATATTAATAACGGGATCAAACAAGGTGCTTCTACACTGATACATTTGCTTAGGACTCACCATTACAAATGTAAAAAATATCCGATTCCGAGTGCAAAGAATGGTATACGAGGTGTGTTGTAAAAAAGAGAACCACTTAAAAAATGTCCTCCGAGCCTTTTCTTCGAGGGCCAACACTACGTCAAAATGCATGTCATTTTCGTTTGATAGCGCGTATCTTGTAAGGAGCTGGAAATTGTACAAAGCCATACAAGCCTTTCAGCTTGGGCGGACACCCATCTTCTTCAGCAACGAAGGTGAATTTCTGAAACAGCCACGAAATGAACAGGAACAACTGGACTTTAGCCATGGGTTCGCCAGCACAGAACCGTCGTCCCGCTCCGAATGGGAAGTAGTTACCTTGATTTGTGATCAGCTTTCCTTCATCGTCAAGGTGACGGTAAGGGTTGAACTCAGTCGGGTTTTCCCAGCATTTGGGATCCAGGTGAACCGACTCAATATTAGGAAGCACTATCGTACCTTTAGGGACGCGGAAGCCGCAGAGAGTTGTATCATTCAAGGTAGAATGGGGCGCTGCAAGCGGAGCCACGTTTCCAAGACGAAGCGTTTCTATGATGGTGGCGTGGATTAGGGGCAGATTGGTTCGATCATTCAATGACGGTGTCTGGTCACCAACTACCTCATCTAACTGTCGTTGAATATCCTCTTGATATTTTGGGTAGTTTACCAACATGGCTATTGCCCACTTCATAATGGTACTTGTAGTTTCGTAGCCAGCGAAGAACATGTTTTCTACTGTGTTAACAAAGTAATCCTCCGATAAGTAAGCGCACTTTTCCGAGTCATTTTCGCGTTCGGCTTCTTTTTTGGCGAGAATGAGACCCGAGATCAAGTCTTGAATGGGTTGCTCAGGATCAAAATCTTTCTCTCGCTCTCGCAAGAATATGCGAATGATATCGAACATTTTGTAGAAAGGCTGAATGAATCGATCGTAAGCCTTAATAGGTAGGTACTGTGTAACAGGGAAAAAATCCAATATCTTAACGAGCTGTGCAGTTTCGTGGTCTGACACAAAATCAACGTTAAGCTTCAGGAGCCTGCTCAAATTTGGATCGGTGGTGTCGTATCCTTCTCCGAAGGTGATGCCACAGATAACGTCAGCAACGGTTCGATTTAAGCTTTCTGAGGGATCAAAAGGCTTTCCTTTTAGCGTTTCTATATATTTTGTCAGTTTCTCTGCCTGTGTTAGTACTCGGCTTTCAATCAGAGGAATATCTGACAAGTATTGGCGTAAGGCTGTTGTGAAGAGTTTGCGATGAAGCTTCCAGCTTGGGCCATAGTGAGTTAACAAGACATCTTTCCCTCCTGTAAGAGAAAAAAGAGAAGATTTCATTCAACTGCAACTGCTTCACCCAAAAGGGTAGCTATACGGTCGTTAACTATTTTTTGCAAAGAGGAGATTACCTCCAGTTTATCTGGGTCAAATAGTCAATTAATATCCAGAAGGTAAATGTTCCAGTGACGAAGAGATATGGATACAATGCTAGCGGCGTTGTGCCCCTAGCTTGTAAGAGGGAAAGGTTAACTTAAAAAAAAAAACATTAAAGATGGAAGCGATAGCTGCCAGTTGTGCGAAAAACAGCCAGGTTCCAGAGTTAAGAAGTTCACATAGAAGAAACTTTTCAATTATTCACGGTAAAAAATAAGGTACCTCTGAGCACTTCTGCAAAGCAGTATAACAAAAATATAATTTACGTATATGTGCACGATCCTTCGCAGTAATAGTGCTTTACTGCGAAGGATCGTGCACATATACGTTTCATAACCGCAGTTCATATATATGTATTTAAAAATATAATTATTATTTCTTTACACTACCATTTTTCCAAAGGAAATACCCAATAACGCAAAATAAAGAATGAAACAATAAAAAGGGTGTCATAAAATTGTCGCAATACTTTTAATAACATTGTTAACTGATAATGACGCCAGAATAATTTAAATCTCGAGTTTTAGTGTGGTTGTTGAAAAGACTCAAGTCTATTGCCTATCGCCTTAATTAAGAAAGAGGCTTGACTGGGGCAAAAGAGAGATAATTTTATAATGTTGCGGTACACTTGCGCATTAATTAATTTGGCTTTCTTGAAGCATAAAATTAATGCAAGAGCACTTACCAAGATTTATTGAATACAAAGCATAGGTCTGCTGTCTTCCTGCATAATCCGCGGATTTTGTAACAAGCATTTCATAAACTGCCTCTGGAGATGCCGCCATTACAACCTTATAGCTTCCAAGTTTTAGGGAGAAAACCCGGCCGTATTTCTCCTCCAAACTACGATATTACAAGAGTAGTTTCGAAACTTTAGCTTGGTTTAACGAGAAACGAAAATGATTGGGATTAATTCACCATTGGGGTATTCCGAAACAAATACAAAGAAAGGAACAAGGACAAAGAGCGGTGTTCCTGAGAAAAATGCTAGTTGACTGAGTAGGGTAGGGTCGGATTGGTAAAATGTTTGACTCTCGATCATGGCGTCAGTTCATGTCAGGCCGAAAAGAGGGCTCGCTCTCAAAGTCAATTGGTATATCTTTGTGAGGAGTTTAAGAAAATTAATTTTAGATCGGGAGCTCGGACTTTACTGCATATCACAACCCTCTGATGAAGGCACAATGTTTATTCGAAGTAGTCGAATTTCCGACAAAGTTGATACATAATGCCGTGCCGCAACCAGTCGATCCCATCGCCTGAAGAAGACTCGCAGTAAGCAGTCGAAACGTCGCGTTCTACATTTAATGACTAAAATCTGCTATTTGCCGACACAAACCTTAAATTTCTTGAAACAGTGGTGAATNCTCTTTCTTGTATATTTATTGAATCTTTTGTTCAGCCGAATTTTATTTTAGATGTTTTAGCGTCCACACACTACCCGCCGAGACTAGCTCTGCTATTTGTGGGTAGTGCGTCATTATGCTAAGTGTTAAGTGATGTCAAGTGTTATGTTATGTCACTTTGTCGTGAAACAGCAGAACAAATCTATATTATCATCCAGCTACCACGATGAACAACAACCTATTTCAGAATAAGTTTGACATATATTTAAATTTCACCTAGAATTCATCGATCAGATACCCAAAGTCACTGAAAGTCGAACACTGATTGACAGCTGTGATTCTGCTCCCTTTGGGGAAATAATTCAGGTAGTAAGCAATGAACCGATTTAGCATTGTAAGATTAGTATGAGTCAAACGCAAGACACTGACTTGAGGTTACTAAAGCGAACATTCTTAATGCTCGGATTTACTGAAAGCCATAACATCAATTGTTGCCCGCTGATCCAAAGTTTAGTAACACCCCCACTAAAGCGGATATTCTTAAGGCTCAACTGAGTCACGTAACGAAAAAAAAGCGTGACCCTGAACGTTTACTTGAAGAGGGAATTATTAACACTCATTATTCCGACAACCTGACCTTCAGCGGGTATTTTGTTGAAAAAATACTGACATGACAACCATTTCTCGGCAGAAACAGAGAAATATGCGTGAGAGCAGAGCAGCCAAATCACAACTCCCGTAAAAGGTGTTAATGGAGAACAATTGTTTAGACAGCCTTGACTAATCTGTTCAAGGTACTCCCAATATCTCTTGTGATGAAAATATTTTAAAAATTAAAATTGTCCTCACGATTCACTGAATCACATTTCAGTGTTATATAACGAGAGAAAACTAGCCATCCAAAATCTACCAACGGCAACGAGAATGCCCATCTGACAGAAACATAATCCTTGGTTCCGCGATTAATTTTAAGCGATGACATTTTAAGTATACGGACTTCACGCAATGCACGAAAAATAAACATATTTTGTTACGCAGGATCTCGAGTAATTAATTCTAAATTCGTCTAACTGGGAGTATACAATTCTAAATCAAATGTTGTAACTTCTCTCCATGCGTTAGTTTCGGAAAAAGTAAACAGACAAGGTTAAAAAGTAAAGGGAGAGCGGCCACTGTAGCTTCCAATAATACGGGCGTCTTTGTTAAATCGCCCCGGATTAATTAAACCTTGAACGATTGATTCCCAACAAAAGATTGTAAAATAATCTCTTGATTCGCAATCATTATTTTTTCAACTATCAGTCATGTCATTTGAGAGCAGACAGGTATTACTGACTTGGGAGAAAGCCTTGTTACACTTTTTAAGTGTCACTTACCCTTTAATAGCATCCGTAAATTTCTCTGCCTTCAAATCCAAGGAGAGTATGTTCCCCAGAACTGGAAGCGTCGTCAAGCGCGGTCCTGGCGGCATGTTCCTAAACTCACACACCACCATCAAATAATGTATCAAAAGGAGCAGAAGTAACAGTAGAAGAACATTTCCGAAGGTGAGAGATTCGAAAATCGACGCTGTTGATACGGAGGCCATGACGAGAAATTTCCGTGATGGACTGGTATTGCAATTATCGTAACGCAACCTTATATTAGGCGACCGGGTTTCTTCTATGTAATTATTAAAGATATTACTTGTTTTGTTTTGTTTCTTTTAATTTATATCTAACGATAAAAATTGTTTTGAGCTCAAAAACTTGAGCTGCCCGAGCATCCTACATAATATGGTGTCGTCATCGTTCTCTCCGTTGTAAAGGCTACCACTCCGCGATGTTTTTTACCCATTGAGGTAATGTGGCACTTCTGCACCTGTCTCGTTCCCAGGTACCATCGGCTGACGGGAACCTCGCGCTAACCAATATAGCCGCACAAAATTGCGACGGCGGAGCATAACATTTGCTAACTGCTGCCTTTATTGTGCTACTAACACGCACCATAATGCGTTCTGCAAAGTGGGAAAACTGAAATAAGATCCCACGTATATATTTTAAGACGTGAGATGCACAGCGTTTTGGAAAACTTAGTCAGACTGTTTTTCATTGAAGATCATGGGAACCATCGCAAAGATCGCGAATGTCACCTGAAAGTTTCAAGTTGACCAAATTGTTGGCCCAACTTGAAACTTGAAATTCGTAGGCAGAATACCAAGATGCAGAACAACGTCTGAAACCTTTAAGGGTTTCTCGTGGCACTCAATGGAACAGACAGTCACTGGCAAATTTTTAAACATCCTTCTTGAGGTTCCTTTTGTTTTTGCGGTTAAAATTTTTATTTCTGTTAGAGTTTGAAAAAAAAGGGTTTTCTTTTTAAATTATTGACAAATATAAGATCACGACTATTGACAAATATCAAAGGAAATGTGAAATCTTGCTTTCTAAAGGAGTTTCCTGGGAAAACAAGCACATACATTTACAGGGCCATCTAAGCGATTAGGTTTGCAAATCAGTTTTGTCTGACAAAACATTTGATACAAGCAGATCGTGGCTTCGTAAACAGATGCACACTAACCAAGGCGTGATGATATCCAAATAATAATAATAATAATAATAATAATAATAATAATAACAATAATAATAATTGTTTTCTCATTCGATCACCGAGTTTGTTTTCAATATTTTGGAGGAAGCGGCAACGCGCACTGCTGCCAGAAATCAAATGGTTTCCTTCTCAGTTAAATAATTTATTCTGTCGACTTTAAATTGTACTTACAGTCAACTGTAAATTAACAAAATGTATGCCTTCAAATGGCTGAAACTTCCGGGAACAAGTTCTCATTCTTCAAGGATTTGAAATCCGAAAAAAAAAGGGAAAATGTATTCATTGATGAATTAGCTTTAACACAATCTCTGAAAGTTCACTTTAAAAGTTGAAAGTGCAGTTGTAAAAATTATTAACTGTCTGCTGCGTGTTCGATTGCTGATACTTAGCTCATTTAGAATACGCTCTTCCTGAGAGGCTGTGAGAAGTGGTTGCGGTGCACTCTCAGCTACAGGAATCGAAGAGGTTGCCGTAGCTCGGGGAAGCGATCGCGATCTGCCATTTCACACAAGAGCGACCACAAGAGCGACCACAAGAGCGACCTCAAGAGCGTGGTTACTACTGCGCATGAGCAGAATATTATTTGCAGCAAAAACCGAGTTAGACCGTAGTACGCATGAGCAGACCATTATTTGTAGGCAGTTATTTTCAGGTCACATGGTGGGCTCCTAGCCAATGAAAATGGGGGAAAATCCATCGAATGATACTATCTTTCAATACTATCAAAGCTTGTGGGGTCGTGTGAAAATAATTACAATATGAAACTGTATTAAAATAGAGATAACATTACTTACAAAACACAACTACCACGGTGAAAATTAAAAAAATATTCAATAACTTTCTAAAAAAAAAAAATATATTAAATGAGTTCACGTATTTACATCTGAATTTATAAACTGACTACAGCAATTAAGGTACAGAGTATTTAGAAGCATTTAAAATCTCGGTGGTGCCTGGGCAGCGACTGAACTGACTGTGCGTTAAAATCAAGTTCCTCAAAATAAAAGTCCTTCTTCACTACGACAAAAATCAGTAAACTGGCCCATTAAATGAGACGAGACAGCGTTTGAAAGAATAGTGCCTCTATAGCTAATAGAGTTTTTAAGAAACTGCGAGTGAAAACGCGGGACGATTATCTTATTGCTCCTTCTGAATTTGTACAAAGTGCAAGGTTTATTCGTCAAGTATGAAAGAGATGCAGGTGCTTCACCTGAAGTGAAGTGAAAACCTTTATTTAACTTCGAATTACAGATAGCAAACAACTATGCTAACGTCTTCGAAGATAAGAAATAAAATTTAAATGGACCAAACAATTATGTGTAGATATAAGATATTAACATTTTTAAGCTAGATAACAGAAAGAACAACAATCACGATTAAATTGAATTCGATTTACAGCTAGTTTAAATGCCTTCGTCGTAGGAGCGGTTCTAAGTGAGTTTGGTAACGAGTTCCAGAGTTTGCAGGCTGAATAACGGAAAGAATGTAAGCCATAGTTAGTAGTATTAACCCTGGGGACATTAAGAGGACGTTTGCCACGTAGGTTGTAAGAAATATCTCTTTCATTGAGTAGATTCTTTATAAATACAGGGGTGTTACCATTAAGGGCTCGATAAGTAAGAGTCAACATATCATGTATTCTACGGTCTTGTAAACAGGGCTGATTAATGTAATCCAATAATCTATCATAAGTGTTGTGAAAGTCATTGAAGACAAAACGGAGACATCTCTCATTAATTTTCTCCAGTTTATCAGAATTCTTTTCGCGGCAATGATTCCAGATGATAGAACAATAATTAAGATGTGATAATATAAATGCTTCATAGAGACGTTTCTTAACACCAGTTGGTATTAGACATTTATGTCGTTTAAGCAC